TATTTAACTACATCTTATATTCAATTTTATTTCTTATGCATTTTTGTTGTACTTGTTGATAATAGGAGTGAGAAACTAAAAAAACTATAAACTGCCCGTGAAACTCAAAGTGGACCAAAATGAAAAACCAAATCACTTTTACAACTTTAATGAGAAACAAGAAGGCGATAACAGAGACTTCTAAAGTAACTTGTAAAGATATAAAAAAATTACAAGAGCGTCTAGTTTTCAAAAAATTGATACATAAAGTACACAATTGTGGTAACGTACTACAGCTAGCTTGTAATGATTTCGTGACACTTTATATTTATCTTTGGTGCCTTTTGATTAAATAATCTTCTTAAAGATAGGATGTTTTAAGTCATCTCAAGAATCTACAATTAATATGTAAAAATGCAAGGAATACGGTAAAATAGGAAATGGAAAAATCTAACGTCGTGGTTGGTCCAATAGCGTGCATGAGTGTGCGTCTATCGATGCGTATGATTCATTTACAAACGTATGCCTAACAACACGGGCAGTCCCAGCCAAAAGTGTCAAGTACGTCAGAACGTGTAAAACGATTGTTTCTTTGCAGATCCTTAAACATTATGTAAGTTTGCTCGATATTCTCTTGCTATAACGTATCGAAGCGCTTAACTCGTATTTATAAACAGATTCAGCACAGATCCGTAGAGCTTCTTCGTGTGTTACATATTAACCCATTACTTAGCACAACTTTCTAGCAATATCGTCGCGAAACAACTACCTTAACGATGAATCTCTGTGGGCGAAATAACTGGCTCGAAAAGACAAATAAAGGACAACTCGTTCGTTTTACCGATGCGGGAACGAGAGCGATCGTGTTTTTGGAATTCTGTCGCGAGGACGAGAACAACTGTCGCGCCCGCATCCCGCATCCTCGACGTGGCGCGTTCGTCTAGAATTTTAATCCGTATGAGATGAGACTCGCTCGTTAACGAGAAAATTTCGTTCGGATCTCGATAAACGGGACATTTATCGAACTCTGTGTTTCTTTCTCTCTCTCTTGACTCAATAATTTTTCATAGCAGGTCTGTATTTCATTGGTAATGCTAATTAATTAACCGCCGCGCGAATTCGAAGAATTATCCTGCGGGGAAAAAATCAGTTCTGCAAATTCATACGTCATGCGGATCGCGGAACTTTGGCGAGCACGATATTTCATCGAATTAAAAGGGGAATCTGATTTATAGAGCTAAAATATCGAATTTTCAAAAGTTGTCTTAATCGATAGTAGTACTATCTTAGAATATACTCTTAAAGTTTTAGGCCGAAATTAAAAGTACTTTTCGAGTTACAGCTTGAAGATTATGCGTCGAACATTGAATGCAGGCATGAAAATTGTCGAAATTGCTTCTTTTATTGCCGTCTTTATTATGTGTCTTCAATGAAGGATATAGCAGTATATTGAAGATGATGAATATGTTAGATATTAGAATTGGGTTGCAAGCTCAAAATTTTGCCCATTCATACGACGAACAGTGACTTGTGAGGCAGCGGCGCCGCAGCCTAAGCAACTCAAAAAAAGTTCGAACAACGCGTAGAATGGAATTAACGGTTTAGAATGTGTGTTCTATGAAGAAGCTGAAGGATTATTATATCGCGGATTTGGTATCGCAGATTAGATCTGTGACTGCTACAAATGATACTTTTGTGTTCCGCAACTTTAAACGCGATTTTCTTGTACTGTTTCTAGGCTTGTTTTGTAGCTGATTAGTTCCTTTTTTAGATGCGCCTAAATGTTTTTGAAAAACGTTACATTAGACTAATTTTTTTGTAACCCAAAGTCGAAATTTTTTTATAAAAATCGTAACTTTTCTTTCAAAGTCGTTGAAAGTTATCAATTTTTGCTTTTCTTGTAAAATTTTTGGTTCAACTAGAAAGTAATTACGTACAATTAACAAAAATAATTGTTTTTTTTGTCTGAGATAAAAATTACAATCGTTACAGTGTACACAGTGGAACAACTGCAGCAGTTTGCTCACTTGGCTCCATTTTTTTAACAAATAATCAATATCTTTTTATGAAAAAATTATTTCATAGAGATAAAATATGTAATAAAACACCCCTAAAATTTGAAAGTGATTGGTTTTATTCTAGCTGAGAAAAAAATTTCTAAAAATCATACATTCTTCTATCTCCTGAACCAGGTTCCATTTTTTAAACAAATAATCAATATCTTTTTATGAAAAAATTATTTCATAGAGATAAAATATGTAATAAAACACCCCTAAAATTTGAAAGTGATTGGTTTTATTCTAGCTGAGAAAAAAATGTCTAAAAGTCATACATTCTTCTATCTCCTAAACCAGGTTCCCCCCTTGGCTCCATTTTTTAAACAAATAATCAATATCTTTTTATGAAAAAATTATTTCATAGAGATAAAATATGTAATAAAACACTCCTAAAATTTGAAAGTGATTGGTTTTATTCTAGCTTCTAAAAGTCATACATTTCAAAGTCAAAATTTCTAAAAGTCATACATTCTTCCTAAGCCAGGTTCCCCCCTTAACGAGACACGTGGATCCTCTGCGTTTTAACGACCTCGATCTCCGAGGTCGACGGGGCCATCGCTTACGATAAAAGGAAAATCAGCGAGTCTTCTCTCCGCGGACTGTTTCGCGAATCTCGCGCGCGATACAGTGAGACGTCGTGTACTCGCCGGCGGTTAAAACGGCACTGAGCATCGCTACGCCTACGTAATGACGTATACGACTCGCGTACTCGCATCGATCCCACGTATGCACCTCGCTGCCGTCGGCAGCGAACCGTAAAAATAGCGCGGCTAAACGCGGAGAATCGTCTCCGCGACGTGGTTAAACGGAAATAACGCGCCGCGCTTGATTTGTACACAATACCGCGCGCCCGTCTTTCACGGGCGACCTGTTTCGCCGTTTTCCGAAAAATATCGACGCTATCAGTCGCGTCGCGACGGCGGCCCCGCCTCGGGAAATCTGCGCGCGGAAGGTCGGCCCGCGGCTGAGATTCCAGATACCGATCGTGCGTATCTTCTCCTCGGGCTCGTGAAAAGTGGAAAGTTTCGCGCGAGAATGCCCGCACCTCGATTGTTCGGGAAGTTACATGATCGCCAAAGTCGTCGAGTTCGCGTGAAACTTTTCACGTTTCCGCCTTTAAGAGGAAGTTAACACCGCTTTGCCATCCCGAAGCGAGAAAAAATGTAAAGCACTACACGCGAATCTCCGCGAGATTGCCGTGACGTGGAACGTCTCAACGTTCGAGCCAGCGACTCGAACAACGAATTCGAACGGAGGATCTCACCTAGGATCACCTATCCAGATAGCACAAATGTCCAAAATCAAGTTATAAGACGTCTTTAAGACATCTTTAAGATAATACCTTATAAACTTGTCTTAAAGATGTCTTAAAGATGTTTTAAAGACGTCTTATGACCCGATTTTGGACATCGTGTCGCTGGGTAGGCACACAACATAACGCGATAGCCTTAACATTTAGCAGCAATCTGCTTCCAAACGAATTTCTCGATTGCGCGCGAAACGTGTCTACGTATTTGTGCAGCGTAATTCCTGATTATTTCCTGGAAGCGGCCCCGTAGGAATAATCAACATTTATGATGCACGAGTGTGTACACACATTGCGCGTAATTGAGAAATTCGTTTGGAACTGGATTCAGTAAATGTTAATAAGGTCTATTGTGCCGGATCGTGTACGTACGCTGCGAGAAAGCGCGTGAAGATTTATGTGTGGGATAGGAAGTTTATTTCTGTGAAGTAAAATTTATCTGTGTGAATAAACTTTATATTCCACAAATGAACGTTCAAGCATTCTTCTCTCAGTGTGCGATGAGAGAAGGAATATTCAAGAGTTAACGAATATTTATTCGCGATGGGTACTTGCAACGTACACCGAGAAAAAAACTGGAAAATTTATCTGTGTGGGACATAAAGTTTATTTTTCTGCGACTTTATATCCCGCAAATAAATTTTCAAACATTTTTTTTCTCAACATTTATTCATATTAATAGTGAAGTATCATATTAATGTGAAGCATTTTTCGAATAAGAAAGCATTGGTGAAACCATAATTGCTTTCTCTGACAGTAATTTTTTATTCTATTAAAATGTTTTGCTCTATTTAAATGAAAGAATTGAAGCAAACATATAATTACTACCCAACGAATAAATATTTCTTATCTTTTAGATGTTTTTTCTCTCGCAGAGTGTAGTAGACTCAATCGACGAGAAAGAGAGAGAACAGCCAGGATATACAGTTAATGGGAACATCATTCTTCTCTCTTTCTCTGTGTGTCTCCGTGACTCTCGATCATTATCGCTTGCTCGCTCGTGTTACACCCGCTTTTCCGAGAGCTTTCCCCGCATGGCGCTTGTCAGAGTTGCCTCCCGATTTTAGCACCGAGAGACCGAATGTAAGTCTCTCTTACGCACACATAGAAGTCATATTATTCCGACATAAACATCCCCGCTTACGAATTCTCCAGCAATCTCTCGCGATTTTCTCGTTGTGCTTTTTTTGTCGTAGTAAGTGTAGCGGCTTCCGTGTCTGTTTTGCTTGCGATCACGCTTGGGAAGTCAGTCGGAACTTCACGGTGTCCCGATCGTTGGAATTGTTTTCTGTCACCCAGACGGACTTGCATAATAAGGTATATCCGTAATTGTCAACTCTCGCGAATTGCAAGTGGTAGATGTTAAGAGAAAATGAGACATTAATTCGCGACTCTCGTTCCGATGTCAGTAAATTTAATGAACTGTCCGAGGCGCGCGCGCGGAATGAGGACAAGAAAAAAAGAGAAAAGATCTCGCACAAACTCTGTGTTACGTAAAGAATGTGATCCGGAACGAAAAGCTCACAGACTTCGAGACGTTTCAACGATCACACGCATTTGTATATGATCGAGAGACCGGACGAAGCGATGACGTGTCGAAGTTAGCTTCGAGAGGGGCGAGGAGGACGACTGCTTTGATGACCACGTGAATCTTGCAGGGCCGACTCTGGAGCCACCGTTACCCAGGCGAAAGAAATATCCGGAGCTCGCTTACAAGACACACGAATTCATCACCGCGGCGGACGGCGGTGGCATCGATGCCGTCGACTCGAACGTCGTAGCTGACAAAGTCCGGGTATGAGTCGATGATCCTTCCATCTAGACACGATCGATAAGTGCGCGCGTAAATGTGCTAGCTAGCTCTCGGTTGTTGACGAAAAACCGCGAACCGTGAACAACACCTCCATCGACTTGTGTCGGTTGACACGCGCTACACGCGTTGATACAATTAAAAGCGCGAAGGTAGACACACACACTCTCTCTCTCTTGTCGCCTCCGAAAAGCGATCGGCCGGGATCTCGAGACTGAAATTTCGACTCTCACCGCAGGAGGTTACAGCGACATCGGCACTGCCACCGAGTCAGCTCAGCAAGGCGATATCTCGTATCAGCACCGAGTACCGGCTGCAGTTCGCCTGGCCTAGGAGACCGCAGCTGACAAATGGGGAGACTCTGGCGCCGGTTCCTGCGGCGGGTGGTCCTACGGGCACCGCGGGCCCGCCCAGGAAGTCTCTCAGCATGGGAGCCCTTAAGCAGGGCATGGCGCCCAGTGGACCTGCTCCGGTTCACAAGAAGCGGCCCGGCGACTTCGATCACAAGCGCGATGGTATTGTTTCAGCGTGATAATTCACTTTCGAGCTATACCCAAGGATGCCGATTCAATAAGGCCCGATCTATTAGGTCTGTACAACTTTGCTTCCGCCGTTTTTTTTCCGAAATTCGAGGCTTTATTGTAAAAAACTGGTTATACATTTATGATTCAAAGTATTGTCCATCGCTGGCCACTACTTTCTCCCATCTTTCGGGCAGCGTACGAATCCCGCGTCGCAAAAATTGGTCATCTTTTGAGGCGATCCACGAATCGATCCAATTTTTTACTTCTTCATAAGACCGGAAGTGCTGGTCAGCCAGGTCGTGTGCAATTGATCGAAACAAGTGATAGTCAGAGAGAGCAACGTCTGGAGAATACAGCGGGTGGGGTAGGACTTCTCATTTCAATGTTTCCAAGTATGTCTTGACCACTTTCGCAACATGGGGTCGAGCATTGTCATGCTGCAAAATCACTTTATCGTGTCTCTCGTTGTATTGCGGCCGTTTGTCTTTCAATGCTCGGCTTAAACGCGTCAATTGCGTTTGATACCGATCGCCTGTGATTGTTTCAGTTGGTTTTAACAGCTCATAATACACTACGCCGAGCTGGTCTCACCAAATACAGAACATGACCTTGGAGCCGTGAATATTCGGTTTGGCCGTCGACGTGGAAGCATGGCCGGGAACTCCCCATGATTTTCTGCGCTTGGGGTTATCGTAATGAACCCATTTTTCGTCCCCAGTCACAATGCGATGCAGAAATCCCTTCCGTCTTTGCCTTTCAAGCAGCTGTTCACAAGCAAACAAACGCCGTTCAACATCTCTCGGCTTCAATTCGTACGGCACCCAATTTCCTTGCTTCTGAATCATTCCCATGGCTTTGAGGTGTTTTGAAATGGCTTGTTGAGTCACTCCCAATGATCGTGCCAATTCTTCTTGATTTTGACACGAGTCTTGATCAAGTAATGCCTCCAATTCTGCATCTTCGAAAACCTTCTCTCTTCCACCGCTATGCCGGTCTTCGACGTCAAAATCATCGTTCTTGAAGCGTTGAAATCACTCACGACACGTTCTTTCACTAATAGCGGCCTCACCATAAGTATTTGAGAGCATTCGGTGAGCCTCAGCTGCAGATTTCTTCATATTGAAGCAGAAAATTAAAATCTCCCGCAAATGACGAGAATTTGGCTCGTAAACTGACATTTTCAATCGAGAATAACTTTATGATGCAGACACAAATCGACTAATGTTTCTATGGGGTTATGTTGACAGATGCCCAAGTTTATTGCATGACGTCTATGATCTATTTATTTCGACCATCACTTACCGCTAAAGCCATCTATAGGAAAACGGCGGAAGCGAAGTTGTACACCTAATACAATAGATGGAGTAAGGAGTAGGAGTAGGAGTAAGACGAAATGGAAATAATTATTTCGCTTACTCCCTTAAAAGTTTGCCTGTATACATCACATGGAGTAAGCCTGAATTAAGTAGTAAGAGCTGAAGTAAGGAGCTGGAGTAAGCGAAATAAATTATTTCCATTTCGTCTTACTCCTACTCCTACTCCTTACTCCATCTATTGTAGGGCTGCGTTCGGAAACGTCACTCGAGTACTCTTCCTCTCTTTTTATCTCACTCTTGTATCTCGCTCACTCCAACGTAACGGGTACACTTGGGTGACGTTTCCGAACGCAGTCTAGATTGAGCCTTACATTTGCAGCACGCTGACAGTGCGTAGAAGGGATGGCTTCCATGTATGCCCTGTTCGCGTGCGCCTCTCATTTCGGCTGAAGTGTGGCTGAAGTAAGAGGCTGAAGTAAGAACTGAATCGCATCCCTGGCTATACCTCAAAAAATATCATCTCACTCCTGGAATAAGCGGAACTCTCTTATGCAGCGTGTCTGACGACACATATAAATAAGTCTCGCGTGTGTGTGTAAATTAGGTCAGACTAAATAAACAATTTCTCTGCCACTTTGCGAACAGCTAAGAACTAGATGAATTCCCTTTCGATGAAAGTTTTCACTTGAAATATGGAATTACGGGAAAAAGTACTGATTAGAGTTTTCTTTTCTGGGTAATTTTAACGGAAATACTGTGCGCGTACGATCTCGGCCGGTCGCATTATTCAAAGTACGTCCCCTGGGGGCATTTTTTCGCAGGGGTCCAAGCGTCCGAACTGGAACCACTGGTGGGCGGCACTGGGACCGACACGATCGACGGCACGGTACCAGAGGGCGACGAGCGCGAGGAGGATCTGTCGGATTTGAAAATATCTTTCAGGTCAGATCGCCAGCCCGGGGGCGCAGTGGGCATGGTTTCTCGCGTGAAAGACCAAAAAGAAACGAAAAGAAAAATCGAGAATTCGGTATCCCCGCGTAGGGGAGGGGGG